TTCTCTGCAGTGGCTCCCTGTCTGTGGAACGCTCTCCCCAGGGAAGTTCACCTGGCGCCTTCATTATACTCCTTTTTTTGACAGAATTACAAGCCTGGTAGATGAAGGGAACACAGTGGATGTAGCCTACCTTGATTTCAGCAAGGCATTCGACAAGGTGCCCCATGATATTCTTGTAAAGAAGCTGGTAAAATGCAGTCTTGACTATGCTACCACTCAGTGGATTTGTAACTGGCTGACTGACCGAACCCAAAGGGTGCTCATCAATGGTTCCTCTTCATCCTGGAGAAGTGTGACTAGCGGGGTGCCACAGGGTTCTGTCTTGGGCCCGGTCTTATTCAACATCTTTATCAACGACTTGGATGATGGACTCAAGGGCATCCTGATCAAATTTGCAGATGACACCAAACTGGGAGGGGTGGCTAACACCCCAGAGGACAGGATCACACTTCAAAACGACCTTGACAGATTAGAGAACTGGGCCAAAACAAACAAGATGAAATTTAACAGGGAGAAATGTAAAGTATTGCACTTGGGCAAAAAAAATGAGAGGCACAAATACAAGATGGGGGACACCTGGCTTGAGAGCAGTACATGGGAAAAGGATCTAGGAGTCTTGGTTGACCACAAACTTGACATGAGCCAACAGTGTGACGCGGCAGCTAAAAAAAGCCAATGCAATTCTGGGCTGCATCAATAGGAGTATAGCATCTAGATCAAGGGAAGTAATAGTGCCACTGTATTCTGCTCTGGTCAGACCTCACCTGGAGTACTGTGTCCAGTTCTGGGCACCACAGTTCAAGAAGGACACTGACAAACTGGAACGTGTCCAGAGGAGGGCAACCAAAATGGTCAAAGGCCTGGAAAGGATGCCTTATGAGGAACGGCTAAGGGAGCTGGGCATGTTTAGCCTGGAGAAGAGGAGGTTAAGGGGTTATCACCATGATAAAAGGTAAAGGTAAAGGTACCCCTGCCCGTACGGGCCAGTCTTGACAGACTCTAGGGTTGTGCGCCCATCTCACTCAAGAGGCCGGGGGCCAGCGCTGTCCGGAGACACTTCCGGGTCACGTGGCCAGCGTGACATCGCTGCTCTGGCGAGCCAGAGCCGCACACGGAACGCCGTTTACCTTCCCGCTAGTAAGCGGTCCCTATTTATCTACTTGCACCCGGGGGTGCTTTCGAACTGCTAGGTTGGCAGGCACTGGGACCGAACAACGGGAGCGCACCCCGCCACGGGGATTCGAACCGCCGACCTTTCGATCGGCAAGCCCTAGGCGCTGAGGCTTTTACCCACAGCGCCACCCGTGTCCTATCACCATGATAGCCATGTTCAAATATATAAAAGGATGCCATATAGAGGAGGGAGAAAGGTTGTTTTCTGCTGCTCCAGAGAAGCGGACACGGAGCAATGGATCCAAACTACAAGAAAGAAGATTCCACCTAAACATTAGGAAGAACTTCCTGACAGTAAGAGCTGTTCGACAGTGGAATTTGCTGCCAAGGAGTGTGGTGGAGTCTCCGTCTTTGGAGGTCTTTAAGCAGAGGCTTGACAACCATATGTCAGGAGTGCTCTGATGGTGTTTCCTGTTAGGCAGGGGGTTGGACTCGATGGCCCTTGTGGTCTATTCCAACTCTATGATTCTAAGTCCCAGGCAAAAATGTTCCTCTTTAACCAGGTCCTTGGTTGATCTGATTTACATCCTATGCCCTTTTAAAATGTGTTTTTGGGGGGTGGAGCTATTGAGTTGTTTTTTTATTCTTATTATGTATTTTGTGGTTTTATATCTTGATTTTATTCTGTCAACTGCCCTGAGACCCCCGGGTATAGGGCGGTTTATAAATCCAATAAATAAAGGAGTAAAACAATAAATAAAGTGGCGTTTCCACTGGATCTGCTCTTCACCCGATCCCCTTGCCCCCCCCCCCAGCAAGTCTCCAGAGAAGTACAAGAATCCTGTCTGCTCCAGAAGGTGGGAGGAATTGAAAAGGGCAGGGGGGAGGAGAAAGCACAGGTTAAGAACATAAGAAAAGCCTGCTGGGTCAGACCAAGGGCCCGTCTAGTCCTGCATCCTGTTCTCCCAGTGGCTGGCCTGTAGGAAACCAGTGAGGAGATCATGAAAATAAATAATAATAATAATAATAATAATAATAATAATAATAATAATTTATACCCTGCCCATCTGGCTGGGTTTCCCCAGCCACTCTGGGCGGCTTCCAACGAAATATTCAAATACAGTGGTCTGTTAAACATTAAAAGCTTCCCTAAAGAGGGCTGCCTTCAGATGTCTTCTAAAAGTCTGGTCATTGTTCTTCTCTTTGACATCTGGTGGGAGGGCGTTCCACAGGGCGGGTGCCAGTACGGAGAAGGCCCTCTGCCTGGTTCTCTGTAACTTGGCTTCTCGCAGTGAGGGAACCGCCAGAAGGCCCTCGGTGCTGGACCTCAGTATCCAGGCAGAACAATGGGGGTGGAGATGCTCCTTCAGGTATACTGGACCAAGGCCATTTAGGGCTTTAAAGGTCAACACCAACACTTTGAATTGTGCTTAGAAATATACAAGAGCCCTCTCCCTCCTGTGGTTTCCAGCAACTTGAACAGTGGTACCTCGGGTTACATACGCTTCAGGTTACATACGCTTCAGGTTACAGACTCTGCTAACCGAGAAATAGTGCTTCAGGTTAAGAACTTTGCTTCAGGATAAGAACAGAAATTGTGCTCCAGCGGAGCGGCGGCAGCAGGAGGCCCCATTAGCTAAAGTGGTGCTTCAGGTTAAGAACAGTTTCAGGTTAAGAACAGACCTCTGGAATGAATTAAGTACTTAACCCGAGGTACCACTGTATTTGACAGCATTGCTGTTTCCAGCTGTGCAGGTAGAGCATAACCAACATAGTACAACAATGGCACATAAAGTACCAGGGACTCACAGAGGGAACACAGCATCTTTGGCTGTGTGACATTTATTCATTCATTCATATCCAACCTGAAATCATGCAAGGAGCTTTTTAAAACAGTATTCCTCCCTCCAGGCTTCAGAGGTCCTTTGTCCAGCTTTTCTGGCCTTCTACAGGGTCTTCTTGTGGCTCAGACATAGCGTTACTGACATTGCCTGCAGTGGAGGAGTTGTGCACATTCCAGCTGGGATTAATCCTAAATCTAGCTCACACACATACACACAGAGTTCTCCCAGGCTCATAAAGCCTGGCATTGTGTGAAGGGCATCGCTGCCTCCACCGAAATATCACTCCCATGCAGTCATCGCTGTCGCCAAAGCACAATGGAAGGCCTGCCATGTGCTGCCTCGTCAGCTGTAGAATTCCAGGCAGCCGGCTGCTTCTCCCACATTCACCCACCCCGGTCACAGCAGCTTCTCTGGGCTTTGCCACCAGCAACACACAGAATCCAGCTTACAGCTAAGGGGTGGGGAGAACATCAGCACTATGATTAGCGTTTATTATATTATCTTTTTAAATACCTAAAGGTGTCCCAAGCAATTTGTTCAATCATAAAACTATTTATTTATTTAAAAAATGTTTTTCCTCGACTGAAGCACTCCTGGGTACAAATACATTGAGAAGTGAAAAGGAAGAGGAGTCAGAGATACTTCCCGACGGATTTGTATTGTTGGGGAACACTGTTTTTATGTGGATCACTCTTCTTCTTTCTTCTTCTTCTTCTTTGTATACCACCCTTCATCCGGATAGCACAGGGTGATTCACAACAGAAAAAAACAAAATGAGAATACTAAGTGCATAATAAAACAAAAACCAATAACTCCCCACAAGCACATTTAAAAATGCTACTACAGTCATACCTTGGTTTCCAAACAGCTTAGTTCTCAAACGTTTTGGCTCCTGAACACTGCAAACCCGGAAGTGACTGTTCCGGTTTGCGAACTACTTTTGGAAGCCAAACGTCCGACGGGGCTTCCAACTGGCTGCAGGAGCTTCCAGCAGCCAATCAGAAGCTGCACTTTGGTTTCCGAACATTTTGGAAGTCGAACAGAGTTCCAGAATGGATTCCATTCAACTTCCAAGTTATGACTGTACTGCGGCCCATGTTTCGTTAGCCCAAAAATCGAAAACAAGCAAGGTCCTAACCAAAGAACAACTTAAGTTGACAGAATATGCACAACTCGCAACTTAACATATAGAATAAGAGAACAAGAAGAACATACGTTTAGAGAAGGCTGGAAGACGTTTATTGAATATATGGGAAATAACTGTGTACAGTTGAAAACACTGACAGCATTAAGATAAATTCAACAGTGTAAATAAGTTTTGATGGATGTAATACAGTAATGGAATACTGAATGGTATAGTTTCTGTAAAATATGCAGGGATCTATGATATGTAAAATGAACCATGGAAAGAGAAGAAGAGAAGTCAATGATATCTTAAAGATGTAAAAATGAGTACTTTAAATTTAAACAGAAATGTTAATAAAAATTATATAAAAAAATAAAATAAAAAGCCATAGAATGTTAATCAGCCTGGTTGAAGAGAAACGTTTTCGCCTGGTGCCTAAATACGGAAGGCACCAATTGAGCCTTTCATCAACATCATCCATGGGCGTATTCAGGATTTCTGTTGGGAGGGCAGAACCTCAGTTAATTACGTATTTTTATTGATTTACTTGATTTAGGAGGGGCGCCCCTCTTTGGCTACGCCCATGTCACCATCATCATTATTGATTAGTATTTATTAAATTTGTTGCTCCCCTTATCTTGCCCAGGGCAACCCAAAGAGCACTTACAACCCAACCAAACTAAACCCAACTCATCATCCGGATTCTATGGGGAAACCGAGAGGAGAATTAAGAACGGGGCGTTCCTCTGCTTCCCAACCTCTCTTCACATGGGATCGGGATCTCGGCTGGGATCCTATGGGGCGACTCGCTTGCGCGCGTGCACACGTCTGTCCGGCCCCTCGCTCGAGAGAAACTGCGACGTCTGTCCTCCCACTTCCTTTCTGTCGGAGGACTTCTATCCCACACCCTCCTGCTGCTGCTGCTGCCTCCGCCTCCTCTCCTTTAAGGCAGCCCAGCTCACCTGTAGGCGCAGCGCCCTCACCTAGCCCAGGTAGCTGCTGAGAGCGAGCGAAGCAGGAGAGGAGGAGGAAGTGGGCGCAGCAGGAGCAGCATGTCCGCCTCGGCAGTTTTTATCCTTGACCTGAAAGGCAAGGTGAGTGTGACCCCCGGATCTTCCTCTCAGGTGGGGCAGAGCAGCCTCCACCCTCCAGGAGAAGTTTCCCAAATAACTCCCCCCTCTCTCTACCCCCTCCAGTATTTCCGCTCGCCAGATCCAAGTTTCTGGGTGTTACCTGGTTCCATTCATACCGTGTACCCGTATCCCCCTCTTCACTTTTCAGCCTGGAGAAGAGGAAGTTAAAGCCTCTTGGAACCAGGTGGGGAGCTGAGTAGCACCCAGGTGGCCTGGCTGTGTCTTCTAACTACCAGGCCACCCTTGCCTCTGGGCACAAGGAGAGAGATGGGTGCTCCTGGCCCTGGTGGCAAGGTTTCTTCCTGCAGCTCCCACCTTCCGGGAGATGGGGCCCACCTGTGCTGCGTCTGGCTGGCATCCCCTATCCCAGAGCTGGGGCTTGTTGGTGCTCCATCGCAGGCTATTTCGTGTTGCAGCGGGTGTGGAGGAGAATCCTTTTGGCACTCCTTTTCTAGGCTGAGGAGTGGTCTGAAAATTGTGACCGCTTAGTGAACGGAGGCAGCCTGGGAATGTTGCTTCCGGAGCGTGTGGACCTGCTTGCTGCCATCCTACTGGCTCTGGTTGCATCAGGGAGCCTGTTAGACCAGCTGGGTTGCTTCAAATGGGTGAAAGAGCAGGGCCAGAGCTGTAGCAGCAAAGCAGAATGAGCCCTGAGCCCATCACTTTAAGGAACAGAAACTGGAAAAAAACATTTGCTTTCTGGGAGATAAGCTGTGCACACTGGAGCTGCCTGCTGCTACCCATTCAAAACAACAACAAGAAGAACAGTTGATGGCAGGGTTCAGAACAGTAGCAGGCCAATTTGTGGAAGAGAGGAATAGCATCATAGTAAGTGCAGGGTAGCAGTTAAGAATCTGAGCGGAAAAGTCAACATCTGAACACAAGATCGAGGAGATTTGTGACAAACAGATTTATTTGCTAGACTGCTCGGTTTGTTCCATACTGGAATGAGAAGCATGCTAATACTGTTCAGACATTTACTCCCCTCCCCCCCGTTCTTATAGAACCCCCCCCCCAAAGCAATTTTATTAACAATTGCAATTACAGTGGTACCACGGTTGAGAACTTAATTCGTTCTGGAGGTCTGTTCTTAACCTGAAACTGTTCTTAACCTGAGGCACCGCTTTAGCTAATGGGGCCTCCTGCTGCTGCTGCGCTGCCGCAACGCGATTTCTGTTCTCATCCTGAAGCAAAGTTCTTAGCCCGAGGTACTATTTCTGGGTTAGCGGAGTCTGTAACCTGAAGCACCTGTAACCTGAGGTACCACTGTACTGTGTAATAATGCAAGTCTCAGCGCAGCTGTAGCTTTACTACATGTTGATAGGCGAACGACAGTCTACATCAGGCATAGGCAAACTTGGCCCTCCAGATCTTTTGGGACTACAACTCCCATCATCCCTGACCACTGGTCCTGTCAGCTAGGGATACTTGTGTGTCTGCATCACTGCCCCCCTCCCCTTCTGTAATAGGATGGTAATAAATATACATAAGGGGCTGTTATACTCTGATTAAGCATTTTTAAACAATCCAAAAATTCATCTGCATGTATATAATTAATAACAACAACTATTAAGGCTGCATTGCTATACCCAGCGGCATACCGTGGGTTGTCAGCACCCGGGGCAAGGCAAGTAATTTGCACCCCCTAACCCATGAATTTGCGCCCTCTAACCTGTGGATTTGCGCCCCCTAACCCTAACCCCCAGATGTTGCGCCCGGTGCGGCCGGCCCCCCTGCACCCCCCACGCTACGCCACTGGCTATACCTACCTTCGTGGAAGTAAGCCCAACTGAACTCAATGGGACTTACTTTTGGAGTAGTTAGCTTATAGGAGTTTGCTGTAAGTGAAGTACCACATTTTTGGAGTAGTTAGCTTATAGGAGTTTGCTGTAAGTGAAGTACCGTATTTTTTGCTCTATAAGATGCCCCAGACCACAAGATGCACCTAGTTTTTGGAGGAGGAAAACAAGAAAAAAAATATTCTGAATCTCAGAAGCCAGAACAGCAAGAGGGATCGCTACGCAGTGAAAGCAGCAATCCCTCTTGCTGTTCTGGCTTCTGGGATAGCTGTGCGGCCTGCATTCGCTCCATAAGACGCACACACGTTTTCCCTTACTTTTTAGGAGGGAAAAAGTGAGTCTTATAGAGCGAAAAATACGGTACTTGGGGAACCTTCTGATGATGGGTGCCCCCTATCTTACACAAAGCTGAGTTTATGCACTGCATTTTGAATAGGGTCTTGGGCGGGCAAGATCATGGAGGTACAGTATCGCATTTTTTAAAATAAGTGTGGCATGAAAGGGAAGCCTGGTCCATGACAGAGATAGCTCTGGGGGTGGGGAATATTATGGTACAGCTGCATTTTCCTTTTCCTCCCACCACATCTCTAAAATAACAACTTTGTCGAAGGATGAAAAAGACCACGGGTGGAACAAGACAATTTGCTGCCTGAAGCAAAGAATGATATTGCTTCCCTCCCTGTTCCATGTAGAGAAGCTGCCCAGATTGGCAGTTGAATCTTACTTCAGCTGTGCCAGGGGGAAGGTTTCCTCCATCGCACCTGACAGCAGCTGGCAAGTTTAGAGGGTACATGAGAGGATTGTTGTGCACATCTCTGTTCTCCCACAGAGGCGAATGGTTAGAAGTGGGGCTGTGGCTGCTGTCACCTGAGGCAATTGCTTCTTCTACCTAATGGCAGAGCCGGCTCTGAAAAGCACAAAGGAGAGAACTAAAGGCCCGTTAGATAGAGAAGAGCTATTGTTTATTTGGCTGGGATGTGCTATGACTCACTACGTGGCCAGGGAATACAGGGTGAGAATGCAACCTTGAAGACTTGCATCTAACAGCAGAATTCAAGAGTGTCTACTCAGATGTCTGTCCTATTAAGTTCTATGGGCCTTACTCTCAGGTAAGTGGGTAAAGGGTCCCAGTCTAAACCTCCTCCCTGGAAAACGGTGTGTGGGTGAATGACATACATGATGCTACTTAGAGGAAGCATCAGTGATAATGTGAGCAACGCACTACGGGTTGTCTCAATGTCAGCCATGCAAGGCTAGCGTGACTTAAGCTTCTTTCCCATCCTCTAGCCCCTCATCAGCCGCAACTACAAAGGAGATGTGAGCATGTCAGAGATTGACTACTTCATGCCGCTCTTGATGCAGAAGGAGGAAGAAAGTGCCCTGACGCCACTCCTGTCCCGCGGGAAAGTGCATTTCCTTTGGATCAAGCACAGCAACATTTACTGTATCCTTTCAAAGCCTGAGCTAATTCCAGGGAGGGGGGTGGGATGCTGCAGCCCCTGTGAGGGGCAAAACCCAAGTCCAACTGGATTCAGAAACACTACTGCCTCCAACTGTGGAGAATAGCCTGCAGGGCTGTAATCTTCGATAGCCTTTTCCTCCATGAATTTGTCTTCCAAAGTCATCCAAGTTTGGGGGCCATTACTGCCTTCTCTGGGAGGGAGGCACACAGTCTATGTGCTGCGTGAACGGCCCACAGTATTCTAAATGCAGTTGCACCAGCGATTTGTATAACAGCAATATAATGTTGGCAGTTTATTTTCAGTGAGCCTTGCCCTGTGCTCCTAAGTTTCAGCGAAGTGGAGATTGCAGGCCCTGCGTTTCTGAACTTCTTTGGAATGATAGAGAAAGGGCAAGAACAGGGTAGGCAACCTAAGGCCCGGGGGCCGGATGCAGCCCAATCGCCTTCTCAGTCCGGCCCGCGAATGGTCCAGGAATCAGCATGCTTTTACATGAGTAGAATGCGTCCTTTTATTTAAAATGCATCTCTGGGTTATTTGTGGGTCCTGCCTGGTGTTTTTACCTGAGTAGAATGTGTGCTTTTATTTAAAATGCACCTCTGGGTTATTTGTGGGACATAGGAATTCATTCATATATTTTTTTTCAAAATATAGTCTGGCCCACCACATGGTCTGAGGGACAGTGGACCGGCCCACGGCTGAAAAAGTTTGCTGACCCCTTGGGCAAGAATGAAGCATGTGCAGAATCCTTTTGGCTAGACAGAAGCCTCATGTTAGGAGCTGAGTTGTCAGATGAGAGCTGAAAGGCTGGTCCCAAAAAGGGAAAACTGCAAATTGGTGCAAGATCCAGTCCAAGGAAACAACCACTGAAGAATCCACATGAGGTTTCTGTGCATCCCAATGTTCATCTACTGCCTGGCACTGGTGGCTATGTCCTCTATTTAGGCTAAAGTCCCCCAAAGCCAATACTCCTTCCCTACCATTCCCAAGTCTCTAGTCCAGCAGTTCAGAAATCTCTCTCTTTACCCTTAACCTTTTGTGCAGTGGTGGCCCTAACCATGAAGAATGCCAATGCCTCACTGGTGTATTCTTTTCTCTATAAAGTGGTAGAGGTAAGTCAAGGAGCCATTTTTAGACGTACAAAGAAGAACAGGGCACCAAGATAAGAAAGGCTGATGCTATCTTTGAGTTCCCCACTGTGTTATTCTGTTGGCTTGGAGTAGCATGCAGACAGCACACACCCTCCCCAATAGGAGCCAACTCCTAGGTGCTGAGATCCCTTCGTGCCCCCCCCAATAAAATATTTGATGGGGCCTGCCTGCCCCAAAGCTGATGGGCATTGCCATTCAAATGCTGTGTGTCCACTGCATCATGTGATCGATTGTGCGGGGCAGGGCGTACCTGGGGTCCCCCAATATTTTTGCCAGGTTGGCACCCCTGCCCTCCCTGCAAATGATCTTGAAGCTCTTGGTTTCATCTTGGCACTACAAACCCTGATAGTATCTTTTTGGGGCCAGGGATGAAAGGCCAGTTTGCCCTTCGTAGCATAAAACCTGGCTTCTTCGACCCCATTGATTCCAGCCTTTGAAAACTGAACTTGTATGCTGTCTTTTAGTGTATTCACTCTCAAGTTTTGTTAAAAGGTAATAATAACTTCAAGGCACAGTTTTATAAAATTTACAGCAGGGGTGAAGAATTTGTGCCCTCCAGAAGCTCCCACCAACCTGAGCCAGCATGGCAAATAGACAAGGATGATGGAAGTTGTAGCTTGCAACATCTGGAGAGTCATAGGTTCCCCATCTCTGATTTACAACAATTAAAATAACAGAGCAATTAAAAAACCCCAACATTTTAATACCAACGGAAACCAGTTTAAAACAACACTCTTACACTTAAGAACTTTAAATGTAAATCCAATTTACTTTGGATTTCCTTCCCATTTTAATTCAGAATAAAAGTGTGCTGCTTATCAGATGTTTGGGAAAAACTGAAGTAGAAGTCGCCATCTGGCAAGGCTGGAATGGGGCTTTAGTAACCCATATGAAACCAACTCTCTGCCCCTGTGCATACCAGAAGGGCCCACCTACCTTCCTTTCCCAATAACTAATGCATCCCACACTGGGAATTCTGCAAGAAAGATGCACTTGAGCCAAATGTAGATGGATCAAAGTTCTGGAATTTGGGTATTAGGGCTGCGGAATTCTAGGATCTTCACCCCTGGGCTGGGGGTGGGTTCACCTCTTCTGTATAAAATCCAGTAGGGTGAAACCTTTCATTCTTTCATTGTCAGGTCTTTTCTGAATATTTCAAAGAGCTGGAAGAAGAGAGCATCCGTGACAATTTTGTCATTGTGTATGAACTGCTGGATGAGCTTATGGATTTTGGGTTTCCCCAGACAACAGATAGTAAAATTTTGCAAGAGTGAGTCACTTGGTCTGCTCCCCCTCTCCTAACCTTTCCCCCCCTGCTTTCCTGCTACCTCTTTCTGACATTGTGCAAATAAATGACCTAACAGGATTTGAAAACTATATGTGCTGAGGATGGGTATACAGTGGTACCTTGGTTCTCAAACTTAATCCGTTCCAGAAGTCCATTCCAAAACCAAAGTGTTCCAAAACCAAGGCCCGCTTTTCCATAGAAAGTAATGCAAAATGGATTAATCCATTCCAGACTTTGAAAAACAACCCCTAAAACAGCAATTTAACATGAATTTTACTATCTAACAAGACCATTGATCAATAAAATGAAAGCAATAATCAATGTACTGTACTATAAAATAATGAAGACAGTATTGTAGATGATAAAAAAATTAATCCCCCCCCTTACCTGCACTGATGATAGTCATTGTTTGGATGGGGGGCTTTTATTCATTTCCACAGTCAGTCAGTCAGTCAGTCAGTCAGTCAGTCAGTCAGTCAGTCAGTCAACCTATCTATCAATCAGTAGCTGAACTGGGTTCCACACAGTCCCAAAAACAAATTAACCGAAAAAGCCTCAAAAACATGAATGCAAAATATATAGCAAAAACGAAAGCGCCAAACTTAATCCATTCCAGAATCTGTTCAAAAACCAAGGCGCAGCTTCTGATTGGTGCAGGCACCCTGGAAACAATAGCCAACAGCCACATTGGACGTTTGGCTTCTGAAAAAACGTTCAAAAACCGGAATACTTTCAGCGTTTGGGAACCAAGGCATTTGAGAACCAAGGTGTTTGAGAACCAAGGCATTTGAGAACCAAGGCACCACTGTACAGTATAGGAGTTCAAGTGGAACAAAATGTTTCCCATTTGTAAAATTTCAAACGTTAAATTCATATGTTAATCATTCTTCTTGGGCCAAACTTTATTTCTGAGGGGGCCTCAGTTTGGGGGAAATGAGGTCTGAAGAGATACTTAAATTTCAGTGTTGGGGGGCTCAGAAGCGAATGTCAAAATCTGAACTATCAATATTTCAAACATGCATTTTATTGTGAATTTGCGTTTCAGTCCAGGCAATGTGAAGTTTTGCTGAGATTCTGATTCTGCTTTAGATAGCAGAAGGTGCTCTTTACAGTCCCCCACAATCCTTTGAAAAGGTGTGCTTGTTGGGAAGTGGAATGACTGCATCTTAGGAGGGCAGTTCTGGATCTTGATCTCGCCCCCTCTTCACCCTGATGTAGGTACATCACTCAGCAGGGCAACAAACTTGACACGGGCAAATCCCGCGTTCCACCCACAGTCACCAATGCAGTCTCCTGGAGGTCGGAGGGCATCAAGTATAAGAAGAACGAAGTCTTCATTGATGTCATTGAATCTGTCAATCTGCTGGTGAGTTATTGCAGGAATGTGGGTCCATCTGGCTCACCTAGGTACATAGGGATCCGGGCAACATTGCGAGGAGCCTAAAAAGTTGGCATGGCCTTTTGTCTTGCGGCACCTGCCCCATTGGAATTCCAATCCATTAAATATTACATGGGCATCAGCTCTGGTGGCATGAAGTTGCTTGGGTGCTTGGCCTTTCTCAGTGGAGTGCAGGAGGAAAGCTGTGTCGCTGGCAGCTGCTCAGAGGAGGCCGTGTGTGTCTCCCTCGAGAGAAATTCTGGTTTCCAATGGTGACGGTGGTGCTCCCACAGGGATGGCGGTGATCTGCCCTGAACCAGTATTTTCTCCTCTTAGAGCATCAGCTTTGACAGCAAATGAGCTCAGAAGAGATGATGATAAGATAAGAAAAGGAAAGTGGGTAAAAGGTAGCTCGGGATCTACTGGAGATCCCTGGGCGATTTCTGGGTTTCTCAACAGCAACAGAAGCTGCTCCACGCCCCTTTCTGCTGAAATGAAGGGCAGGAATAGATCTCTCTCTCTCTCTCTCTCTCTCTCTCTCTCTCTCTCTCTCTCTTTATGATTAGAGTGTGTGAGCTCCCGTTGCTCAGTCCCAGCTCCTGCCAACCTAGCAGTTCGAAAGCACATCAAAGTGCAAGTAGATAAATAGGTACCACTCTGGCGGGAAAGTAAACGGCGTTTCCATGCGCTGCTCTGGTTCGCCAGAAGTGGCTTAGTCATGCTGGCCACATGACCCGGAAGCTGTACGCCGCCTCCCTCAGCCAATAAAGCAAGATGAGCGCCGCAACCCCAGAGTCATCCACGACTGGACCTAATGGTCAGGGGTCCCTTTACCTTTACCTTTAAGCTACTTACAGGAACGCGGGTGGCGCTGTGGGTTAAACCACAGAGCCTAGGGCTTGCTGATCTGAAGGTCGTGGTTCAAATCCCCTCGAGGGGGTGAGTTCCCGTTGCTTGGTCCCTGCTCCTGCCAACCTAGCAGTTCGAAAGCACATCAGAGTGCAAGTAGATAAATAGGTACCACTCTGGCGGGAAGGTAAACAGCGTTTCCGTGCACTGATCTGATTCGCCAGAAGCAGCTTAGTCATGCTGGCCACATGACCCGGAAGCTGTACGCCGGCTTCCTTGGCCAATAATGCGAGATGAGCGCTGCAACCCCAGAGTTGTCCACGACTGGACCTAACGGTCAGGGGTCCCTTTGCCTTTACCTTATTTATTTAGTGCATTTCATAGAACCGTAGAGTTGGAAGGGAACCCAAATGTCATCTAGTCCAACCCCCGGCAATGCAAATATCCCACCTCCCCCCCCCTAGCACAAAGTGACTTTTATGGTTCTTCCCCTCAGTTCTTGTACTGAGATCCACTTCAGGACTGAACATGTTCCTTAATTTTGTGTGCTGTTTCTCTCCACCCCCATTTTGCACCTAGATCCAGTTGGAGGATCTCTGGTTTCTAGTGCAAAAACAAAGCAGATCCGATTTTAGTTTGCACACAGCACATCTAAGTACTGAGTAATGTTGTTTCCATGATGTTTTGTGTACTGGTGGGGGACTTCCCTGGGCTTTGAAAGTCCATTTTAAAAGGGACTAGTTTGAATTCAAATTCAAGGTGTCCAAAAAGGAACTAATTCCAGTTTATATTCATTTTTTTTAAAAAATAATTTTTATTAGTTTTCCAAGCATATAATAAAGACAAACAATCAAACAAAAACAAAACAAAACATACAAACATATAAACATGTATACTTTCATAATCTTATCTTCCTGCACCTTGCTTCCCGGACTTCCCCATACCTCCCCTTTTCTGCATCCTTGTTTTTACCTTTCTTCAGCAACCCTCCAACTGATTAATTAATTCACTTTCATTCTAATTTCCTTAACTTATTGTTTACAGCTGCAATTCTCTATTTCTTAACACCTTAACATCTCATTACACCTCAATTTTACAGCAATTTTTAAGATAAATTTTAAATTTCTTCCAGTCTTCTTCCACTGTCTCTTTCCCCTGATCACGGATTCTGCCGGTCATCTCTGCCAGTCCCATGTAGTCGATCACCTTCGCTTGCCATTCTTCCAGAGTGGGTAACTCTTGTGTCTTCCAATACTTTGCCAGAAGAATTCTTGCTGCTGTAGTAGCATACATAAAAAACGTCCTATCCTTCCTTGTCACCAATTGGCCAACCATGCCCAGGAGAAAAGCCTCAGGTTTTTTAGGAAAGGTCCATTTAAGAACCTTCTTAATTTCATTATAGATCATTTCCCAAAAGGCTTTAATCTTCGGGCAGGTCCACCAAAGGTGGTAAAAGGTACCTTCAGTCTCATTACATTTCCAGCATTTGTTATTGGGCAAATGGTAAATTTTTGCAAGCTTGACTGGGGTCATGTACCACCTGTAAATCATTTTCATAATGTTTTCTCTTAAAGCATTACATGCCGTAAACTTAACACCAGTATTCCATAACTGTTCCCAGTCCGCAAACATAATGTCATGACCAATGTCTTGTGCCCATTTAATCATAGCTGATTTCACCGTTTCATCCTGTGTATTCCATTTCAACAGCAAATTATACATTCTTGACAAGTTCTTAGTGTTGGATTCTAACAGTTCTGTTTCTAATTTTGACCTCTCCATCTGGAAACCTATTTTCCTGTCCTGTTTAAATACCTCATTTATCTGAAGGTAATGCAACCAGTCTCTTACCTTAGACTTTAATTTCTCATAACTCTGTAGTTTAACTCTTTCACCGTCTTGTTCTAAAATTTCACAGTATTTTGGCCATTTAGACTCCATATTAAGTTTTTTAATCTCTTTAGCTTCCATTGGTGATAACCACCTGGGAGTTTTACTTTCCAATAGGTCTTTTCCAGTTTATATTCATCCCTTTAGTTCTGTTCGTGTTCAGTTCAAATAAATCCAATTATTTTACCCTCAGCATTCAGAATGTTACAAGCTGCTGGGTTGAAGTATAAAATATGCTTAAGAAAACACAGTGGAATGTGAATTGTTTGGTTTATTATTCCCAACAATTATGATCCTTAAACTTCAAAGCCCAAAGAATGTAATCAGTAGAAAATGCATGTAGGAGATTGAACCTGAAGCTAAGAAAACATTTAAAAGCTCTCCCTCAAAATGAACAATTTACATTCAGTTCACTCGGCAGTTGTGGGAACTACACTAGTGGCCAAAGTTGTGGAAACCTTTTGGAAAAAGTGCATTTCCGAGGTTTGACGGCTCGTAACATATGATTGTCTCTCTAAACACTCATGCTCATTGGCTGCATTCAGATGATGGGAAGCTACTATAACCTAAGCAGATTGTGCATCCTTTTTCTGGTTATTTGGCTATAACTTTTGATAGAATACAGATAATTGAACAAACATTGTTGCATTACATTCTTCATTAAATTATCTTTCTATTGATATGTAATTTTATGGCATTACTCCAAAAAAGTGGGGCTATGAGCCATCAAACCTCAGAAATACACTATTTCCAAATGGTTTCCACAATTTTAATTGTATTAATTAATTGTATTAATTAATTAATTAATTGTATTAATTAATATAATATTTTTTTAATTATTTATACCCCGCCCATCTGGCTGGGTTTCTCCAGCCACTCTGGGTGGCTTCCAACAGAACACTAAAAACACTAGTGTACTATAAGGCATAGTTCAGAGATTTTTGAACTAATTCAGCAAACTGCGTTAAACTGAACTGGCTCATTCCAAGACTGGCGCTGCAGTTTCAGCCTGGCTGTCACCAGGGACAGGAGGGAGAAGTCACCCTTCTTCCAGGCAAAGAGAGGAGAGGGGAGGAGTTGTGACCCCGAGACTCAGACCCTGCTCTGTCTTCCAGGTTAATGCCAACGGGAGTGTCCTGCTGAGTGAGATTGTGGGCTCCATCAAGCTGAAGGTCTTCCTCTCCGGCATGCCAGAGCTGCGTTTGGGCCTCAACGACAGGGTGCTCTTTGAGATCACAGGACGTAAGTCACCCAGTGCCCTGAAAGCAGGAGCACCAGCAGTTGGATGGGCTGGGCAGAGAGAGCCTCCAGCAGCAGGAGATGTTGGGCTGAATGACACTAGATTTGGCAGGGGAACACAGTAGAGATTTTGCTTATTGTTGCGGTTTTTCATTTTATGTAGATAAGCTCTTGGCCTGAAATTACACCTTATTTTTTAAAGTAGCATTCATACAGGTGCATTTTTTGGGGCCCCTCTCTCTCTCTTTGTACTGAAACACCAGAGCAGCACCCGCACATCTGGATGTGTCTATGAAAAATGCAGTTTCTTTCGTTCGTCATTAACTTCCTGGTAACTTTTAATGTTTTGGGAATGGACAGCCTCTGTTTTTTTCTGCCAAATACTCACATATTTCTGCTGCTTCCAGTCTTTGGGTGTTTGTGTTTTAAAGTTGAGGGCTTTAATAATGACTTTTTTAAAAAAACAACAACCTCCTTTTCAAAGTCTTGGTGCTGACCTTTAAAGTCCTAAACGGCCTCGGTCCAGTATACCTGAAAGAGCGTCTCCACCCCCATCATCCAGCACCAAGGGCCTTCTGGCGGTTCCCTCACTGCAAGAAGCCAAGTTACAGGGAACCAGGCAGAGGGCCTTCTCAGTAGTGGCACCCTGCCCTGTGGAACGCCCTCCCACCAGATGTCAAAGAGAAGAACAACTACCAGACTTTTAGAGTTGTAGCCCTGTTTAGGGAAGCTTTTAATGTTTAACAGGCCACTGTATTTTAATACCTTGTTGGAAACCGCCCAGAGTGGCTGGGGAAACCCAGCCAGATGGGCGGGGTATAAATAATAATTTTTTATTTTATTTTATTTTTATTATTTTCAAGCACCTTCCCCACAGAACGCTTGGAGTTCTGAGTGTTGGCTATTTGCAGATTAGTTGCGCTGCAGAAGGCGTGCTGGGGAGACCACACATTACAAGGAACGCAAAAGTAACTTTTGCTAGGTTTTAATAACAAAAACAAAAACTCCTTTTACACTAAATCAGTAAACATGACCCATCCACCAGGGTACTGAGAGAGCTACATACTGTTCTTTATATACCATACCCAACAGCTTAATTACCACAACTTAACAGCACCTGCTATACTGCTTCACAGCTGTAAAACTAGGTCATGTTATTTGCTCTGGCCTTTAAAGAAATGCACATCTTGTGGAACAATAATGAACCTTCAGCAGTGGCATAGCGTGGGGGGTGCAGGGGGGGCCGGCCGCACCGGGCGCAACATCTGGGGGTTAGGGTTAGGGGGCGCAAATCCACGGGTTAGGGGGCGCAAATTACTTGCCTTGCCCCGGGTGCTGACAACCCACGCTATGCCACTGACCTTCAGATTTAAAGAGGCCAAGAATCACAAGGACAGGCAGCTGTTTTTCTCTGGCTAGAGCATAGTCTCTCCCCTGCTATCCCCTGGGCAATTGTGACAGCCACACTTCTGACTTCTCAGGTGGAAAAAATAAGTCTGTGGAGCTGGAGGATGTCAAGTTCCATCAATGTGTGCGGCTGTCACGTTTTGACAACGACCGGACCATCTCCTTTATCCCACCTGATGGAGATTTTGAGCTCATGTCCTATCGGCTGAACACACAGGTTAGTCTGGGATTCAGACCCTAGGAAAAAGTGATGCCATGGTGATCTCATCTTCATTGGGTACAGAGGCAACTCCTTTGTGCACTGTGGCACTGAGGCAGTAGCTGCCTAATTTTCCCAGATTAGCTTTTTTCCCCTTAATGATTCATGCCCAGCTAGGTCATTTGCCTACTTATCTATAGGCTGATGCTGTCAGGGAAGAGAGAGTTCCTTGCAGAAGGACGGCAGGAATTACGCCCAGTTGACGAACTGGTTCCTTGTTGAGGAAGCCATGTGCGTTATCTTCAGATCTTGAGCCAGTCACGGTTGCAGCTGGCTGACCTTGTAGTGGTGCAGATTCTCTATATATTGAGACATCTATTCTCTGCCGCTATAAAACATGTGGAACAGCAACCCTATATATGTACTACTGCACTGTTTGGATAAACCACACTAGAAATAACCCCATCATTTTGTACATTCCCACAGTACTTCAAAAGGCATGGCTTTCTTTCTCAGATCTCTTTCCCCCCAACATGACAGTTAATAGAACTCATTGCTGTTAAATGTTAAAGCTCAGAGGAAGGCGAGGGATGGTCGCTCCAAAAACTCTCCATAGCTGTCAACATTTCCCTTTTTTTAAGGGAAATTCCCTTATTCCGAATAGGATTCCTCGCAAGAAAAGGGGAAAGTTGACAGCTATGAAACTCTCTCCTCCATCAGATGTGTCCTATTGCCCTGGCACTTGTTCAAGCAATAGGAAAATAACTGTTTGTAGTATTTATCTTGCAATCACCAAATGATGATGATAACAGTTATTTGGTGAATGCAAGATAAATACGACCTGGTTCTTAGGGTCTTTCACCTGGCTGCTCCAAGGTGGCACAAGATTTCTCAAGTATACAGGACTGATGAAGCCGAGATGACAGGATTTGTAGATGTTCTAAGCTTTCATTATGTCTGACACACCTCCCATTAACCTTTTGCTCTTTGGCTCTAACCTGCTGGAGTCTCTGGACCCCATGAATGAGATTCTCTCTTTGCTTGAAGGTGAAGCCCCTCATCTGGATAGAGTCTGTCATTGAGAAGTTCTCTCACAGCCGAGTGGAGATTATGGTGAAGGTGAGTTTCTTTGAGGGATACTGCTACCCTTAGGTGATTGGAGGAAAACACATAATAAAGAGGACAAAATATATTTGGGTATTTATTGCTATAGATTTTGTTCACTCTTTAGCAGCTGCTCCAAATCATCCAAAAAGCGGGATTTGTATGGGCTTTGGAGAAATGAGATCACTTCCCAGTCTTCCATGGAGCACTACAGCAGTGATGAGCTCTGCCCCTCCTGCCTCAAATCTTGCTTTGGCTCACCTTCTCTCTCTTTAAAAAATAAAATAAAATTATTTTCGTTTTTTAGACAAAATTCATATACATATAAATCATTTTCAATTTGTACACGCATGAGATTACTTAAATCCCTGGACATCCTCCCCACCCTCCCCTGGTTTCCATTTTTTTCTATTTATTCCATTGCATCTAATTACATTTTTCAAATTCATTTTGTATCCCCAGTTTTAAAACTTAAGTCATATTACATTATAAGTGTTATAACAATCCTGCTAATGTTTTTAGATATCTGCAGTGGTCTTTAAGATACACTATAATTTTTTTCCACTCTTGACTAAATTTTTTATCGTCTTGGTGTCTGATCTTCACGGTTATCTTCACCATTTCAGCATAGTCCATCATCTTGGTTATCTACTCTTCTTTGGTTGGGACTTTCTTTTCCTTCCGCTTCTGGGCAAAAAGCATTCTTGTGGCTGTTGTTGCATACATAAACAGTCTTTTTAAGTCCTTAGGTATTTCATCTCCTATTAGTCCAATAAAAAGGCTTCTGTTTTTTGATAAAAGTTACCTTAAACATTGTTTTCAATTCATTATATATCATTTCCCAGAATTCTTTTACTATTTTACATGTCCACCACATGTGGTAGAATGTACCTTGGCTCGCCTCCTCTTCTGGCAGAGACATAGTCGGGAGGGGTGAAACACAGACTGTTGTGAGAATCTCTCTATCTTTATCCCTTTTGGGAAGGCCAAGGGCCAATTCAAGAAGCAATCGGTGGCCAATGGAGTAGAGATATATGTCCCGGTCCCGAGTGATGCCGACTCGCCCAAGTTCAAAACCAGCATCGGCAGTGCAAAATACCAGCCTGAGAAGAATGTTGTCGTCTGGAGCATCAAGTCGTTCCCGGTGAGAGAGATGCCCACTTTCCCACAAATCTCCTCCCCCGTTCTGTCCCCTGAGTTTTGCAGATGATTTCAAAGATGCAGGTTTAACCCCAGGACATTTCCATTGCATTTGGGAAGGGGTCAAGGGGGCAATTCTGTCACATGGTCCAATGCTCCTGCAAGTTTGTTGGGAGGCAAGAGCTTCCACTATTAAGTGTGCTATAGCTGCTCATGAATCCCTGCCCATTAGGTGCCAGCAAACCTTGAGAAAAAATGGATGCAACTGATCCAAAAATCTACCCACCCACCCTCCACTCAAACAAAAAAACAAATCTCACTACAGCCAACCAAAGACACCCAACCACACCCTTGGCCACCCCAACCTCTCTCACCACTAAGGAAGTACAACACGCGAATAGTAAGAGAACCCATACAAGTGATGCTGATGCAAAACCCCACACATGCACTAAGTATAAGAATAGACGTATACCTGAAGGAGCGTCTCCATCCCCATCCTTCAGCCCTGACACTGAGGTCCAGCTCTGAGGCCCTTCTGGCGGTTCCCTCCCTGCGCGGAGTGAGGTTACAGGGAACCAGGCAGAGGGCCTTCTCAGTAGTGGCGCCTGCCCTGTGGAACGCCCTCCCGTCAGATGTCAAGGAAGTAAACAACTCTCTAACTTTTTTCCAGTAGCACCTTAGAGACCAACTAAGTTAGTTATTGGTATGAGCTTTCGTGTGCATGCACACTTCTTCAGATAAACGTGTGCATGCACAAGAAAGCTCATACCAATAAGTAACTTAGTTGGTCTCTAAGGTGCTACTGGAAGGATTTTTTTATTTTTTATTTTTTATTTTTTTTTATTTTGTTTGTTTCAACTACAGCAGACCAACACGGCTACCTACCTCTAACTATCTGACTTTTAGAAGACATCTGAAGGCAGCCCTGTTTAGGGAAGTTTTTAATGTTTGATGTTTTAGCGTGTTTTTAATATTCTGTTGGGAGCTGCGCAGAGTGGCTGGGGAAACCCAGCCAGATGGGCAGGGTATAAATAATAATAATAATAATAATAATTAATAATAATAATAATTAATAATAATAATATATTATTATTGCTATTTATTTATTTATTGGCATTACCACCCCACTCCACTCACCATTCTCCCCTCCCCTCTTTTCTTCCCAATCTAATACTGCATGTGATACTAATGACTCAGTACAAATGAAACTGATCCTAGAAAACGCAACTTGAAAAAAGAGACAATGCACATACTTTTGTAAACTAAGAAATATTTAATAAAAATACATTTCACACACACACACACACACACACACAGATGTGATCCGTAAGGACTTCCAGAAATGCCATGGTGGATTTTCTTACCCATTTCCTGTGGCCACTGATGAACTCCATTTACGCTTCTTGGTTATTAGGGTCAGGTTGTTGCATTGGCTGGCCTGCATAACAATTGTCTTAAAGAAGAAGACCTTACCTTCTCTTGCATTTGGCTCTGCAGGGTGGCAAGGAGTACCTGATGAGAGCCCACTTTGGGCTGCCCAGTGTTGAGAATGAGGAGCTGGAGGGACGTCCGCCCATCTCAGTCCGTTTTGAGATCCCCTACTTCACAGTCTCTGGGATACAGGTGAGCTGGAGTTGACTGGAAGATGGAGAAGTGGGGCTCTGTACCAGGGGTCAGCAAACTTTTTCAGCAGGGGGCCGGTCCACTCTCCCTTAGACCTTGCAGGGGGCCGGACTATATTTGTTTGGGGGGGGATGAACAAATTCCTATGCCCCACAAATAACCCAGAGATGCATTTTAAATAAAAGGACACATTCTACTCATGTAAAAACATGCTGATTCCCAGACCATCCGTGGGCCGGATTGAGAAGGCGATTGGGCCGGCTCCGGCTCCCGGGCCTTAGTTTGCCTACCCATGCTCTGTTCATTTGTGAGAGCTAGCTTGGTGGGGGGGTTGACTGAAAGGCAAACTGGGTTGCCTGCAGTCTCCAAGCTATGATTTAGCGCAAATGGCATGTGGTTGGCTAAAACGTTAAGAGCAAGTAGCTACCATCTGCTGATATACATTGGTACCTCAGTTTAAGAACAGTCCTGTTTACGAACGATTCAGTTTATGAACTCCGCAAAATCGGCAGTAGTGTCCCGGTTTGAGAACTTTACCTCGGTCTAAGAACGGAATCTGAACGGTGGAAGTGCACTGGCGGCAGGAGGCCTCATTAGGGAAAGCTCGCCTCGGTTTAAGAACGGTTTCGGTTTAAGAACGGACTTCCGGAACGGATTAAGTTCGTAAACCGAGGTACCACTGTGAAATGGTTCTTGGAATTATTGAAACTGTCTTCCCAAAGCTGCATACGAAAGGGGCATCTCGATTACACTGTCGCTGAGGATTTTAACTCTCTGGAAGTCCAATATTTGAACTTGTTTCAATGGCTCCTGCTGGTGATGGGAGGGAATACACTGCAAACGGACGAGGAGTGAGTGGAAGTATTTAGGGGAATGTTTACCAAAAAAAATTGACCTCAAATATAAATTCCAGGTAGGGGATACCTTGTGACCAACAGTTGACAACATATAAAGGTTATGAGAATGTGGAAAAGAAGGTGAAGGAATTAATGTATATGCAGCCAAGTAAGATTTATAAACTATCTAAACTGTCTAAAAGAACTACTATAAAAGAATGGAAAATGCTGTAATTTTAAAATTGAAAACTAATAATAATAATAATAATAATAATAATAGGCTTCCTAGCTCTCTGCCTAGCTCTCCTAGGTAGGATAGGGACTATGCAACCCAGAATACTAGCCTTACCTGCAACCCTCTTTTTAAAAAATAAAATAAAACAACAACGGGTGTGTGTGTCTGCTACAGTCTTCCTGCTCAACACTCAACACGGAAAGTTCTCCTCTAGCAATGATAGCAGGATCACCTGCGGGTTTGACACACAATACATCTCTATTGGGAACGTTGACTATAGGAGGTGTGTGTCAAGAGACTTCCTGGATGTTCCCATCCCATTTATGCTGCTGTAAACAGGGACCCAATCCTTTCAAGCTCATTGTAGGGGGGAAAGGTATTGTTTCCTTCTGTTCCTTAGCTTATAGAATTGGGAATATCTGGAGTACAGGTGGAATGGATTGTTTTCCTTCTCTGCCCTCCTAGTAATGGTAAAGGGACCCCTGACCATTAGTTCCAGTTGTGACCGACTCTGGGGTTGTGGCGCTCATCTTGCTTTATTGGCCAAAGGAGACGGCGTACAGCTTCCGGGTCATGTGGCCAGCATGACTAAGCCGCTTCTGGCGAACCAGAGCAGCGCACAGAAACGCCGTTTACCTTCCCACCAGAGTGGTACCTATTTATCTACTTGCACTTTGACGTGCTTTTGAACTGCTAGGTTGGCAGGAGCTGGGGACCGAGTAACGGGAGCTCACCCCATTGCAGGGATTCGAACCACCAACCTTCCGATCGGCAAGTCCTAGGCTCTGTGGTTTAACCCACAGTGCCACCTGCGTCCCATTTCTCCGCCCTCCTACCTGTCCCCAATTAAGCACCCTTCCCAAGCCTGAACAAAGCAAATACGCAGATATAAAAGCTGACCATTTCTCTCTCTTCTCCCCCCCTCATGTAAACCACACTTGGCTCACTAATCAGGTTATTGTTCCCTTAGGAACATAGAGAGGTGCCTTTTGCTCAGGCAGACCATTGCAATGGTCCGTAGAGCAGCTCGGCATTGTCTATGCTGACAGTTCTGGGTTTCACAGGTGAGGTTTTCCCAGCCCTACCTGGGATTGAATCAGGAACCTTCTGCATGCAAAGGATCTGTTCTACCATGGAGCTACAGCCCTTCCATTGCTTTGAGGCCAATTTAAAGTGTTCATTGAAAAATAACGATCCAAGCGTTCCTTTCCCACGAACTTGAGATGGGCACAAACAAATGCCCTGGCACCTTCATTACATACATATATTTAGGCGCCAGGCAGATATGTTTCTCCTCAACCAGGCGTTTGGCTGATTAACATCCTATGGCCTTTTAAATGTGTCTGTGGGAGGGGGGTTATGGGTGTGTTTTGCTTTGGTTATGTATTTTGTGTTTCCATTTTGTATTTTTAAGTTGTGGACTGCCCTGTGATCTTTGGATGAAGGGCGGTTAATAATAATAATAAAATAATGCAGCCAATATTTCTTTGGGAGAAGGTGGGGCAGGGGCAATTTGCTAAGATGCTGCGTAGATTTGAAGTGCCTTTCATTGTGACCAGCTGGCGATGGGTGGTTTAGAGGAGGTTGACGATGCCCTCTGTTATGTACTGAAGTTCTCATCCTGGGCCAGCAGGGGGATACTGTAGATAGTTATGCAAATGAAGGATCGAAAGTGACGTTCAGTGATTGGATAGTTTGTATGCAAATGAAGGATCGAAAGTGACGTTCAGTGATTGGATAGTTTTAGAAAGTTGCTACAGTAACGTTGTACTGGAGCTCTATATAAGCATGCTGACTGAGCTCTTCAGTTCAGTTCAGTTCTGTTCTCTGAATAAACAAGAGCTGTTTGGAGAATTGCTGTGTCATCTGATATGTTCACCCACAACTTAACACCCTCCTTTGATATTGTCCTCTCCTCTGCTACCCCTCTCTAACCCAGGTGCGGTACATGAAGATAATTGAGAAGAGTGGATACCAGGCTCTGCCTTGGGTCCGCTACATCACCCAGAGTGGGGGTAAGTTGTCAAGGAAGCTGAGCTGCATACAGGTTGTACAGACATTGGCTTTCCCTGGCTGAGCACTTTCGGTGTACAGTCGTACCTTGGGTTACAGACGCTTCAGGTTGCATTTTTTCAGGTTACGGACCACTGAAACCTGGAAGTACCAGAACGGATTACTTCTGGGTTTCGGGGGTCGCACATGCGCAGAAGCACCAAATCGCTCTTTGCGCATGCGCAGTAGTGCTGAATTGGAACCCACTCGTGCACAGACGCGCCGCTGCAGGTTGCGAACACTGCAGGTTGTGAACGTGCATCCCGCACAGATCACATTCGCAACCCGAGCATCCACTGTACTAAAAGCTGTATGACGAGTCTTTTCTGCTGGAGTCAGTGTGGTGTAGTGCTTAGAGTGTCAGACCATGACCATGTCTAACAATTCCCCCTAAAAGACTTGTCCCAAGATTCCCTGTGCAGAAGCTATGCTGATTCCCTTTCAGCAAGGCTGGTTCTTCGCCTATATGTTTCGTAATTCTAGCTGTGAATCTACCCAAGAGAGAAGCAATACAGGTTTGTAATTATTTGGATTTCTCAATCTCTGGAAAACCCTCCCCCCCTTTTTTTTAAATTGACGTAGTATTGGCCACTTTCCACCATATTATTAGCCCTGCGGGGGAGTTCGTCAGTGTTCCCATTTCACAGACGAGAAACTTTTGAGAGCTGGAGAGAGCACGTTGCTAAAGCTTCCTCCCTACTTGCAGGTTCGTTCCTGCCTGTCCTGATCGCTCAACATCTCCTGCAGGCATAAACAGCTACTCTGGGAAAAGGCAGAACTTTTAAGAACCTTTCTGGCCCGACCCAGGCCTAACATAGTCTCTACCTTTTTTGTTCCAGATTACCAGCTCCGGACACATTAGTCGTGATCTTGCAGAGCCAGGCACCATCAAAAATGAAGAAGCCTGAATGGCCCAAGAATCCTTTGTTGGCACTCTGAAGCAAATTGTGTGTGTGTGTGTGTGTGTGTGTGTGTGTGTGTCCTCCTCCTCTCAAAATGTCACCCTGCTCCTCTGCCCAACCACAGCTCGATTTGGCAACAGTTCTTGGGCTGGTTTGCCCGATGCCTGCAGGGGGAAATGATGGTTCTGTGGTTGTTGCCTGAGATGGCACCTGCATTGCTTCCCTACCTGAGTGGCAGTGGACTTACCTGTGGCGAAACGCCAACCAGCTGTGCCTTGCCAGGACAAGACTCTTCCAGATGCCTTGCCTTCTTTCAGAACCTCCCTCCTTTAGAAGGTTCCACAGAACCAGTGGTGACACTTTGCTCTGAAGGTTTAGCTTGGCGTTCTCATAGGGGGAGATGCGTTTGGCTTCACCTGCGGGTAGCATTCACCTGAGTGTAGCATTCGGCTCAGCCTGGAAGGTAAGCTGAGCTCCCCACAAGCACCTTGTTGCTCTGCACCTTTGATTGGTGAAGAGAGAGGCAGGGAAAGCATGCCCTGCCATGGTGTGTAGAAGCTAGAACTAGGAGCTTCTGGGCACAAACTCACTGGGTGACTGCAAGCAAGCCCCTTCCCCCCCTCAGTCTGTTCCCTAATTGTATGATGAGAATAGTGGCTACCTCATTTTTAAGATTTGTGACTCAAAACTACTTCCCATTGTCATTTAGACCACAATGTGCTGTAAATAGAAGTTGAAATGAAATTGGGCCATTTCGACAGGGTGACCATGACGCTGTTGTGTGTCATTAGTCCTCATTTCCTTTGGTTTTCTGTTCCACTTTCTTCCTTCATTCTAAGCATCCTCATTACAGCCAACAAATGGAGCCGCTTGCAATCATACAGTACTGGCAGGTTCTTACAATAGTGGGCCTTTATCATTCTGGACACCTGACAGCGAAAATACCAAATATTATTTGGAGAGGAATGCTGAAGCTCAGGCCTGCTTGTTCTTTCAGAGCTCCTTTTGCCTCTTAGTTGGTTTATTTGAAAAAACAGATATTCCACATGCAATTTCCCTTATTAAATCTTTCTTCGGTTTCATCTCTAAGGTCAGGAAAAGAGAATGTCCAGCTGATTAGCAATTAATCCCCTTGGTATTTATTGATACTAGTCTATGCACATTTATATTGGAGTGAGCCCCATTTAATGCAGTGACGTCATGTTTGAGTAAGAACACACAGAATTAGGATGCAAGAGTCTGATAACCTGTCTACCCATCTTCCTTTGATTTGCTCTCAGTGATGTGGTTGCTACGGAAACAGTCTGAAGCTACTGTTGATTTGTATAGGAACCTGAACCGGGCCCTTTGAGAAAAGGGAATTCTAGTTTCCCAGCTTTCCCTTCTTAAGCCACTAAAAGCAAGGGGATAAAATAAATGTGGTTATACTGTGAAAAAATACCTCAACACAGTGCTTTTTTTCCTGGGGGTACGCATACCCCTAAACATTTTGTGAATCTAAGTTTGGCCTCATTGAGGTGCAGTATTTCAATATGAGTAGGAAAATGAGAGTACCCCTAAACATTATTTTTTTAAAGAAAAAAAGCACTGCCTCAGCATGTAAGTGGAGCCATGTACAGATCTATTTCATTAGTAGTGAAGCTGCCTCAAATTGAATGCTGTCTATTTAAGTACGGTACAGTGAGAAAAATCCCAGAAAAGGATTTGTTGGTCTGCAGCAACAAGATGGCAGAAAGTAATTGCATTAGAAAGGCCTCCAATTTAGGCCTGTCCCAGAATCTTCCACCTGTTAGGATTTTGGCACTCCCTAATATAATGCAGTTCATGCCTGATTAAGTTCCCCTGCAGATCCAGCAGTACCAAGTGCAGCTCAGAGGCAAACTTGCAAGGCTCCCAAACCAGTTCCTGCAAAGTGGTCGGTGGCAGAGCAAATTCAAAGAATGTCCTGGCACCTGGGTTCAAGCCTTTAAAATATGTGTGTGTCTCCCTCCCCTCAAACAAACAAAATAGCAAAACCCCACCTTAGATCTTGCATAAAGGAATGTGTGCAAATCAGAGAAATTAGTTCTGGGCCTGCTGGGTGATTTGTTCCAAGTCTGTACAGTCGTACCTTGGAAGTTGAACGGAATCAGAACATTCAGAAACCAAGGCACGGCTTCCGATTGGCTGCAGGAAGCTCCTGCAGACGTTCAGGTTCCAAAGAACGTTCCCAAACCAGAACACTCACTTCTGGGTTTGCGGCGTTTGGGAGCCAAAACGTTCAAGTCGCAAGGTGTTCAACTTCCGAGGTACGACTGTGTAAGCTTCCTATCTATGTTCAAAGAGAAACCTGCTAAACACAGCAAGCAGGGGAGCCAAAGCCCTCACCAGCAGATTTTGGCAGGTGCCCACTTCACGCAGGTATATAGGATTGCGTGCTGCTCCAAGCCCTGTGCATTCCTCCCTGAGAACAGTGGTTCCCCAAAGGGTGTGGCAGGGGAGGATGGAAAGCATGGCCGGAAGATTCCAGGAAAATCAATATTCTATTTTGGGAAAGATTCATGTTCTTCTGTAGCTGCATTGTTTTATACTTTCTGGATTTCCTACGATCATAATATAAAATAGTTGTGTTCTGTGTTATAAATCAAGCACTGCTAAGAGTTGTTTGTTTTTGTTTCCCAATGTATTTCTTATCAATAAAAGAATTCTGTGTGGCAGAAGCAAATTTTTATTCTGAAAGTGTGGGAAAAGTTTGAGAACCACTGCTGGGTGGAACATGAGACTCTTAATTTCTGGGTTTGAGCCCCACGTTGAGCAAAAGATTCCTGGAAAGAAGAAGACTGGAAGAAATTTAAAGACTACCTACAGAAATATTGTAAAATTAATGAATGTTAGAATGATGTTGGATGAAAAGTTATGTGGTTGTTAGCTATAACGTTATAAGGAGTATGAAAAAAATGGACTATTAACAGACAAAAATTTAATGTTACATTATTTTAAGATTAAAGATTAGGATAAACAAAGAGGGGAAGGATTTGCTGAACTAACAAATTGAACTGGAATACGAAAAGGGAGGTGCGAGGAGGTCCGGGAAATAAGCAAATGAAAGAAAGTGATGGAAAGATGGAATTGTTTTTTATCTATTTCTATTTTGTATTTTTCTTTTTTCATTTTGTAAAATTCTAATAAATATCTTTTTTTTAAAAAAAAAGAGCAAAAGATTCCTGCATTGCAGGGGGTTGGACTAGATGACCCTCGGGGTCCCTTCCAACTCTACAGTTCCATGATTCTAATGACTCCCGAGTAAACATAACTTGGATGAAGGAATTGTAGGGATGCTCATCAAATTTGCAGATGACACCAAACCGGGAGGGGTAGCTAATGCTGCAGAAGACAGAATTGGGATTCAAGATGACCTTAGCAAATTGGAGAACTGGGTCCAAACTAACAAAATGAATTTCAGTAGGGACAAATGAAAGGTTCTACACTTAGGCAGGAAGAACCAGCTGCACAAATATAAAATAGATGACACCTACCTTGATGATAGTGCATGTGAAAAGGAGCTAGGGGTCTTAGCAGACCACAAGCTTAACGTGAGTCAAGGGTGTGATGCAGCAGCAAAAAAGGCTCATGCTATTCCAGACTGAATCCACATTAGTGTCCAGTACAAGAGAAGTAATAGTACCACTCTAGGTTAAAGGTAAGGGACGCGGGTGGCGCTGTGGGTAAAACCTCAGTGCCTAGGACTTGCCGGTCGGCGGTTCGAATCCCCGTGGCGGGGTGCGCTCCCGTCGTTCGGTCCCAGCGCCTGCCAACCTAGCAGTTCGAAAGCACCCCCGGGTGCAAGTAGATAAATAGGGACCGCTTACCAGCGGGAAGGTAAACGGTGTTCTGTGTGCTGCACTGGCTCGCCAGATGCAGCTTGTCACGCTGGCCATGTGACCCGGAAGTGTCTGCGGACAGCGCTGGCTCCCGGCCTCTTGAGTGAGATGAGCACACAACCCTAGAGTCTGGCAAGACTGGACCGAACGGGCAGGGGTACCTTTACCTTTACCTAGGTTAAAGGTAAGGTAAAGCCCCCTGGATGGTTGAGTCCAGTGAAAGGAAACTATGGAGTGTGGTACTCATCTCGCTTTCAGGCCGAGGGAGCCGGTGTTTGTCCACAGACAGCTTTCTGGATCATGTGGCCAGCATGACTAAACCGCTTCTGGCACAACAGAACACTGGGATGGAAACCAGAGCGCATGGAAACTCCATTTACCATCCTGCGGCAGCCGTACCTATTTATCTACTTGCACTGTTGTGCTTTCGAGCTACTAGGTTGGCAGGAGCTGGGACAGAGCAACGGGAGCTCACCCCGTCGCAGGGATTCGAACTGCCAACCCTCTGATCAGCAAGCCCTGGTCAGGCTCCACCTGGAATCCTGTCTCTAGTTCTGGGCACCACAATTTAAGGATGTTGACAAGCTGGAACATGTGCAAACAGGGGTGCCCAGGTAAGCCCCACCCCACTTAATCACAATATGATGTGCACAAAAACCATTTGAATGGCAATGCCCATATATTTGGGGGGTGGACCCCTCAAATATTTAATGGGGGGCTGAAGGGACCTCGGTCGCTAGAAGTTGGCTCCTATGTGCGCTGATGAGGATGACTGATGAGATGAACCAGGGTCTGGAAACCAAGCCTTAGGAGGTACTGTTGAGAGAGTTAGGTATGTTTAGCCTGGAAAATTGAGATTGAGAGGAGACATAATAGCCATCTTCAAATATCTTAAGGAATGTCACACAGAAGATGGAGCCAGCTTGTTTTCTCCTGCTCTGGAGGGTAGGACCCATGGCTTAAGTTGCAAGAGAAGAGATTCTAACTCAGGCACCCACAACCTCGGCCCTCCAGATGTTTTGGGACTACAACTCCCATCATCCCTAGCTAACAGGACCAGTGGTCAGGGATGATGGGAGTTGTAGTCCCAAAACATCTGGAGGGCTGAGATTGGGGGCGCCTGTTCTAACCAAATGTCAGGAAGGGCTTCCTTACAGTAAGAACTGTTCGATGGACTCCAATGAGAGGTGGTGGACCCTCCTTTCCTTTTGGTTTAAGCAAAGGTCGAGTGGCCATCTGCCAGGGATTTATCTAGTTGAGATTCCTGCATCGCAGGCGTCCCTTGGGGTCCCGTCTAACTCCACAATTCTACGATCTAAGCGAGCATGTGCAGAGTGCAGGGCCTGGCGCGAAGCGCTGGGAGTCGCCGCCTCCCCGGCCTCCCTCCTCCCGCCCCGTTTCCCGGGGCTCGCGACCTCTGTCGCTCGCCTGGACCCGGCGAGGGCGCGATCGGAGCCGAGGAGCCTCTTCCCGCCCGAACCGCGCGTTTGAATCGCGGAGGCCCGCCCAGCGTCCCGCCCCAGGGCGGCCAATCAGGAGGCGGCAGGCGCCTTCCCCTGCCCGGAGCCGGCTTCTGATTGGCCGGCGGCAGAAAAGGGAAAGCTCGGCAAAGGTTACAATTGTATCCGAAGCCGAGAGCGCAGAATGAAATGGGGGCGGGGCGAAAGAAACAACAAGGCACGTGGGGGCGGAGCCGGGGGAGGAGGAGGAGGGGCGGCGGCGGATTGCGGCTCCTGTCCGGGCCAGGCTAGGCTCCAGCTCGGTAGGTGGGGCGGGGTGGGGTTAGCAGCCTGTGCCGGCTTCACCCTTTGCACCGACGGGGCGGCCCCCCCTCCCGGCTTCCCGCAGCAGCAGCAGCCGCGGCCCCGACTAGCCAGCCGAGCCCCCCGACGGCGGCGCCGCCCCGGGCTCGGCATTCCAGCGCCGCCTCGCCCTCGACGGCTGCTCTGCCGGCCTCGAGTTGCGCGAGCGAGAGGGCGATCCTGCGCCTGGAGGAGGAGCGGACCGCGGCGGAGACTGCGAGCGGCAGGGTCGGCCGACCGGCCGGCTGCTGTCCGCCGGGACCGGGGACCGTGCGGTGGGAGCAAAGGTAGGCTGCTGCGGCAGCGGCGGGGGTGGGGTGGGGTGGGGAAAGCCGCCGGGCGGCTGGTTGACAAGCCCCGAAGGGCGCAGGAGTGCATCTGAGCTTATGCAGAGTGCTTCTCCCCCTCTTTCGGGCGGAGGTGCATCTGTGCAAATTGGACTCACTGCGGATCTCGTCGTCGCTGGGTGCCGGGTGGGCGACCTGCTGGCCCTTCTCACGCCCGGGGCTCTCCCGGCTCTCTTCCCCCGTCCAGGCGTCGTCGCGGGCATGCAGCCGGGGAGCGCCGGGGACCGGCTCAGCGGGGCTGCCGCCCGGGGAGACACCGGCGAGGTGCGGCGCCTCCTCTTCGAAGAGCTGGTGCAGCCGGACGCGCGCAACCGCTTTGGCAAGACCGCGCTACAGGTAGGCGAGGCAGACTCTGGTTTTGGTCCTGGAGATGATTTGGGAGCCCGTCTTCCTTCTCGCTTCCCTTTAGCCCCAATCCTTGTCTGGAACTCACCCTTCCTTTGTCTCCCGGTGGCATCTTTCCCTTTGATTTTGGACCACAGCACCCATCTCTCTTCCCCTTTATAGCCTCCTCCAACTCATCTTTCTGCTAGTCTTGGGAAGTTCCTCCAAAGCATAGATACCAACAACTGTTGTTCTGTCAACAAGAGGCAGGCATAGATTCCACAGGCTGCTCTCTTTCCTGCTGGGGCTCAGCTCAGCAGGGTCACTGGAGGGGCACAGAGCAACTGTTTGCAACCAACATGTGGGGGGAAAGATCCTGCCTTGGCTGAGTAATGGATGCCAGGTGGTGTCTGAGCTGAAGTCTTTAAAGTCGCCCCATCCGGTCCCTTCTTGGTTGCGTGACAATTGTCTCCATAGCAATTTCCACAATAGATTAAATCAAAATTCCAAAATCAAAGAAGCATGGCGTTTGTGCTGCTCTGGCCGCAATCCATAAATATGATTATTTCCGTCAGAACGTGGCTTGTCTGCCCATCAGAAAACAGCCTAGCCAATTTGACAGTGGGCCCATCCCTCTCTGATTCCTTATTTTCGCCCCCTAGGTA